CAGAATGAAGATGTCCACATCATAATCCATTGGCATTTGGAAAGGTACCCTGGGACATCCCTAAGTAACACCACTTAGTTTCATCAACTCATTTCAAAGCCTCAGCTCTGATTACAGTTGATGAACCAAAACAAGCGGTGAGGTACCTCCCACCCCTCTCCTGCAGCAAAAATCATTACAAATTTGTAATACCCCAACGCTGCTGAAAAGAAGCAAGTCTTGTTGCCAGAAGTCTGCCTATGTTCCTTGATGTCACCAAATCCATAAACATCATCTATAATGAGTGGAAGAACAATGCTATATTACCTCTATTACAACAGGGCGACAGAGCAGAACAGCCTCTGTCAATATACTGTGTTTTTGTGGGTCACGGAAAGGTTTTATTTCTCTCTTAGAGCCTTGAATCCCTGTTTTAAGACAACCAAGGGACACACAAGGCAGCTTTAGAGCTGCTCCTTTTACTTCTCACCCGATCTATATTTTGAGATGGCTTCTCAGGAGAAGGGCAAACATAATAAGCCAGCTACTGTACTTTTTATAACTCTCAGTCAGGTCTTTGATTTGGGCCAGCAAGGAAGCTTATTAGATCTGATAAAGCAACTAAGCATCTCTGAAAAACGCTATTAAAAGAACATGAAACAAATGAAAAGCTGGGACAGACTTAATGGTAAATACATGGCCTGGCAGTTCAGCACGGCTACATCCTGTTTGCCATTATTATTTAATACTGGCATCGATTCGTTGAAGGATGAGACAGACCAGGCAATTCTCTGGAGCATTTACTTGAATACCATTTCACTTTGAGATTAAGCAAGCCCACAAGCTTGGATCATACTGTCTTGTTGGGAAATTTTAATTAATTGATTTAATGTCGGGGACTACTGTGGTCAAGCAGTAAACAACACCTCTTTGATCATCTACGTGGACAAACCAAGTCCCTGCTAACTACCAAGCAGTGCTCAACTAGAACCAGTTAGAACCAGTGCAGCATTAACCTGCTCCTCTGGAATAACAAGCATACAGCCACTATCCCACATGCTGGTAGTAGAAACCATTCGTATGGGAACTGTTGTCATGGCTCAGGCTCTTTGGTCTTTATATTAATTTTTCTGGGAGCCCACGGAGGCCTAGAACAATTTACACCAGCTCTCCATTTCCTAACAGTGACACATGGATATGAAGGGAAGTCTGAGGAGTAATTATTTCCACCACCATCACGTTAGCTGCTCCGCTTTAACGGCGGAACAAGGCTAGTGACACAGACAGGGAGGCTAAACGCAGCAACTACCTCCATCAGGTACGCTGCAACCAAGCTAGCAAAACTCAATGCGAGACTATATAGAAAGGGAAGATGATTTTTATTTTTAAGACCAATTTCACCCACTCATTCCTTCATGCTCATTCTTGCATGTTCACATTCTCACCAGCACCAAGACACGTGTGTCTAAGTGGTCCGGTGAGGACTGCCTACAGTGACACAGAGGACAAGTCCTCATCGTGCCTGTGAGATTCATCCCGAATGGTGAAGACACCATATGGTATTTACAGTCTTTATACTCTCTCTCAATACAGGCAGCTCTGGGTCTGCTTGAGTTGCGTCACACTGTGGTTGCTCCACATCTGCATTGTGTTCTTATCTGAGGTATGGCCTCGCTGCCACCAGCATTCATTCCTTCTGCTATTACATTCTTCTCTGCTCTCCTCTTGCTCTTCTCAGCCTCCTGAATTGCAGCATATACACCATTCTTTGCCATGATGATTTCCACACAGAACCATCTGTCTTCCAAAGTTCTCTGCAAGCACTGATCAGTCCCCACAGACACCTAGGTATTTAATTCCTGTTTGATATACAGTGCAAACAAAAGGCTGATTTGGCCAGCAGTTTATTCCCAAGTTGTCACTGGCAAGGAAGGTCACTTTACGCAGACCAAATAAATTGTCTTACAAACAGCCTACTGATCACTGGCTGGAAATCTGTGGCTACATGCATCAATTCCCAACCTCTATCTGTCTTTACAACTAAGCATTACTCTTTCTACCACCACCTAAATCTCTTCCTCAGAGGCAATTGCCAGGAGTTTGGAAGCAGGGTCATGGCAAAACAAAAAAACCTGAATGACAGAAAGAGGAAGATGGAATACCTTTGAGTAGGGGAAGCTTCCTTCCCTGTTTTCGAGGTGTGCAGCACTTTGTATGTACCTTGTACCCGCAGCACTGTTAAAGGAGCTGCAGGAGAGTGCAGCTGAATAGCTTGCAGCACGGCTTTCTCTCCCTGAGACTGAGCAGCTGTCCTGGAATTGGATGTGGGGCAAAGCTGCAAGGGAACAAGAGGGAGGACAGAAAGCATCTACTCCCCATTTTCTACAGGTTCTAACGAGCGTTTGTATTTTCGTTTTATATGAGCAGATGTGAAACCCAGCCCGTCTGTCTTTAGGAGAATTCAGCTCTCTCTCAAGAAGCAAACCAACAATTTCTCTTCTCAACAGCCATTTTTATTGCTTTTGACAATACACCATTGGAGGGAAAAAGAAGTAATTTTCTGCTATTCTTTAGCTTCTTTCTTTATTAGAGTAAGTAAATTCCCTGGGACTATTGATAAAAGGTAAATGCTTAACTTTGCATCCAAGCTGACAATGCAAGTAAAAGGAGTTGGAAATTCCCCAAAGCCGGCTACTCATGTAAGAATAGCACCACAAAACTGCCCAAGTAACCACTTTGTGGAGTAATTAACTAACATTTGCATGGAGAACAAGTTCTTACAGCCACTGCTAACAAGATTGAAAGTCTGTGTCTCAAGATGACATAGCAGCGGCTCAGGCTTGAAAGTGTCAGCAACATTTAGTTCAAGCCAACAATAATCAACAAAAATCTTTCCACTCATTCCAAGGGGCTTTGGCTAAGGGCCCTCACACACACACATGTGCACGCACACACACACACACAAATCTTTCAAAACAGCCAGAAAGGGTATCCTGAATGCCTTCAACTCCCAGCTTCTGCCACCGTTCAGCCTTCATCTACAAAATAAATATACACGGGTTTAACAATGAAGAATATTTACTTTCCTTCATTTGATATATTCTGTAAAGTGCTATGTTTCTAAATTATACCGAGTTAAAACGATATATTGCTCTCGTATTTTAAATACAATAAATATAGAATGAGCTGTGTGCAACTTCACTTGCAAGTTTTATTCTTTTTTTAGCAGATATACTAAATTTAGTAATCAAAATAGCCTCCAATAGTACTCCATGAAAAACTAGTAAGAAGTTATAAATAAAATCACATCCTTCAAAGATTTCCTACGCACTTCTTCTGTCCACATTGCATGGATAAGTGTAGTGTTACTGCGAGCATATGGAGAGAAGAAAAATAAGAAAGCTGAAAATTACCTAACAATAAAAAACAAACCCATACAAGTTAATGCTACATATCCTCCCATAAACAGTCTGTTTTCTACATTTAATCTTGGTGCATACAACCGAGTTCTTCTATTTTTTTCCCCATTAAAAAGCTCTTCCAGGAAGAACATCTTGCAAGATATGGGTCGATTCACCTTCATCTTGCTCCTTTTTACTGCAAAGTGGAAAAGATTCTTGAACAAACTGCCTACACATTGGACACTGCTGAAAATACTTAATGCAGCCATCACACAAGCACGCGTGCCTGCAGGGTAGGAGTACCCAGTTCACTGTGCCATTTTGGCAAACAACGCAGTCTTTACTGTTTTCTTCATGCAGTTCTGGTTCATCTTCAGCCAGTCCGGCCTTTTCTAGCAGGCTTCTGTCGGTGCTTCTCTCGCCAGGGGATGTATCACTTGAAGACGGTGCAGTACTATTTGCAGACATGAAGAGTTGCTAAAATACACATATACACAAACATTTAGAAGTCAATGAACTCTCCCCCGATACCTGAACACACACATGCGATGCAAGTTCCACTGGGTCAGACTCACTGGTTCCCACTGGGTCAAACAGTCCCAGATTCACTCTTCACGTGAGTCCTACAGTTGCCTGGCCTTCAGTTAAATGTATTTCAGAAGCATAAAATTACATAGAACACTGGGAAAATACTAGGAATAAGACATCAAATCTTAGCTGAATTAAATCAATGTACATGCATGAACTTTAACAGAACTGCCCAGGTTTTGAGCAGCTCAGGTTTCTGTTTCTGGTCTATCATTCTCTACACCTAGAGGGATGCTTCTATCCATTCCTACCAAAAATATATCCACCAAGTCAAATCTACTTCACTCTTGCTCTTGCTCATATTATAGTCCCATACTCCTTTTTGTCTTATTTTATGTGAAGCACAAATTCTTCTGGGCATGATCTCTTAATAAAGCCAGTAAACTACCACGCAGCCAAAGATGCCCATAGAGAGCACACTACATAACTACACAAAACGCAGCTGCACAGTTATTTCTGTTCAGTTTAAGCAGTGTTTTTACAATGGTAACCATATATGAAAAGAAAGCTTAATAGGCTCAAGTGGGAAGTTTACCTGAATCAACTATGTCAGCAAAAAACATCCAGGACAAACATTTCTTTGGACAAATCTATTTCTGAATGAACGCTAACTGAGTCAATAGAATTAATCTGCCCCAATTTCTAGCTTATCAATATCATATATTATTATTTTTATTATCACAGTAATATAGAACAGAATGACATCATCAACTGCCTGACAGACACAGGACAAAGACGGTCCCACAACATGCATAAATAAGGGAAACTGGAACGGAATAATGAGAACATTGGTTTAACTTATAATGGTATGTGCTAGGCAGATTTCTAACCTTTGTGCATGTATTGCGGTAAAAAGAAATTTTAAAAAAAGTTTCTTCTGAGGCTTTCCCATTTGAAGGGCAGTATAGGAAAAAGTGCTGGTTTGAGAGACTAACAAGGAGGTAACAAATGTTCTGCAGAGAGGAAGCATTTGACAGCTAGTTAATGTCTTACTACTGCTTTAATAAGTGGACAGGACCTAGGCCTCTAGACTAGAATCAAGTAATTTCTCCAGGAAATCTTGAATATTTTCATATAAAATACTTCTGTACAGTAACTTTGGCTGGAACTACTTAACTGATAAAGTAATTTTAACTGTTACCCAGTTCTTTGCATGACAATAGAAGTCTTACACTAATTTCGGCTCCTGAAAGCCTACACAAACTAAACTTAACACTGTCGCCCAAATGAAACAAGACTCAGTATGTGGCTTACCTTCAGATCATGGTATTGACCTTGAGCTAGAAGTAGATACTGATATAATATTCTGCAGGAAAGTCTGTAGCTCTCGTCAGGAATGTGAATTACAGCCACCATTGAAATCTACCAAAAAGAAAGCCATGTTTAATAACTTTCCTTTTCATTATATGATTCATACACAACAGCTTGCTTGAAAGATTGCACGGTTTGTTACAACCTCTGACTTGCTTGTTTCCTTAGACAATTAGGACTTCAACAATGCTGACTTCAAGCACAGATCAAAAAAATATGCTGGACAAGGTAAAACCAGGATGTGGCACAAGATAGTACTTTGTGGCGCTTCAGCTTTCTGCCCTGGTTCTCCATGGAGCCCTTCTATGGCCAGTTTACAGCGGAGACCTGCTCCGACTGCTGTTGCCTAATGGAATTAGGCCCTAAACAGAAAAGACACCTAAGCACATGCACTTCCTCCTGAAGGTAAGTGCTTATGCAGCTGAGGTAGGGCTTTCTTACACAGTCACGGATGTGCCTCGGAGAGGCTACCTGCATAACAATTTCAACCAGAAGTAGCAGCTCCTACGCCCCTCTTTCCACTCTGCTAACTCATGATGAGCTCCTCCTAGATGGGAGAGAAGCTGACAAACTGCGAGGAGTTTCCTACAGCAACCGAGCCCCAAGCGAGCGCAGGCACTTAAGTCCCATACAACTTCTGCAGCCGCATCCCGGGCTGTCTTCAACACAAGAAATGACGCTGTCAGCTAAAGTCTGAGTGCAGAATTACAGGGGAATATGGAAAAGGCAAAGTCTTCTCTACTTTTTCCCACTTCCCTCGCAAACACACGGACCGCAGTTTTTTAGACTCCGAAAAGCATTTAGAAGTGTCGCTGGTTGGCTTGTAAACCGAACAGGCAAAAGACAAATTTCACTGGAAAGGACTATGAAAGGACCTCATGTGCTGACTTTAGAGTCATTTTTCTGAAAATAAAAGCACTCTAAGCTTGCATGCTCTGCCTAATACCCCTCACCCTGCCCAAATTACATAATAGCCTCTAAAAAGCAGGAAAAAAAGAAAGTGAAATTCAATATTATTGTAGTTTCCAGATGCTGTCAAAAGAGAAATGAAATATAGAAGAAAGCTGGTTTGTTTAAAAAAAAATGTTTAAAGGCAGATCAGACTTGCACTTCAAAATCCACACATGGCTAATTACACGCAGAGTTTAAATATGTATGTACCTATACATATGTATTTATACTAACTGAATTTACTATTCTTTAGCAATAAGGTCTTTTTTTCTAAATCACAATGCCTCAAAAACGAAAACACCAAACAAAAAACCCCACACCACTATTAGCTTTGTTTTGGAACCTGAAAGCCATTAAATCTCCATTAAAAGGACAGATTTTTTGTTTTGATAATGAGTTTAAAAGTTAATGGTTCTCAGTGTATTTGTATTACGTCATCCCACCATAACGTAAGTGCTTTCTCAATGACGATGCATGTCCTCAATTCATAGTTTGTTCAGACACCTCGGCAACTTTTTAACCGTGAGTGGGACCAGCTCCTAACGCAAGCATCTCAATCTTCAAGCTATTGTCTCCTCTGTTATACTGTCCTGTAGTATAGAAACATATACAGTGATACTATGATCTAGTAGAAATGCTATGCTGTTTGATTATAGAACCACTTCCCCTTGAGGGCCAGGTATTTTCTCTCTTTCTAAATACTTGTACACCATAATGAAGTTACTTCTCAATCTCCTGTTTTATACCCAGGCCTGAGATCTAAGCCTTTTTCCACTTTAGCCCTGCCAGTCTTCAAATAATTTCTGTGACTCTTTTATACGGTCATGCTAATTTTCTGGAGCTAGAGGAAAATTATGGCACAAACCCAAATAGGTATGATCTGGCCACAAATACAGTCGGGATGAAAATTAGACCCCCCAGAAAAGAGATACTGGAACACCATCCATAGCGATAGATGCTCACACAGACAAAAAAAAAAAAAAAAAATTCAAGATGGAGCTTAATGCACTGATGTGAGAATAATGCAGTAATACCATACAGGCACAGTGGCAAAGATCCCTTTCCACACTATATTTATATTTTACAAGTTTGTTTCAAGAACAACAGATGCAATTCTGACATTTGTCTGGCAACGGGTTCAGGTGGAGTTACTCCTTCGACCATATTAACAGATTTTAGTTGTGTTCCTTTTCTCCAAAGGAAAAATCCCCCACTCTCCTTCCATCCCTTTCTTCTATGTTAAGGAATAAAAGAGAGGTGTTACAAATTCATGTCCATGCTAATGTCAAACACATTCAAATATGAAATTTACAGTCTCTTTGTATTAAACTAATCTGAGCTCTAAACACATATAGATGTACTAACCTGGGAAATAGCTGGAGGGGGTGGGGGACGAAATCTCAAGTGGGTACAGGAGGGAGGAAGGCAGTCCTAACGTCAAGTGACAAGAAGCCAAGGACAGGCATCACTTGGACAGAGAATAGATTTCTTAGGCACCGGTGTGATCACAAACAATTTCCAAATGAATGTACGGAAAAGTGTTCAGTGGATTTAGGCAGTTCGCTTCCGAGTTCATTTGTATTATTGTTCAAGCAGTTAGTGCTATCAGATTATCAACGAAGTGAAAAGACGGGAGATAAAAGTCTGTCCCAAATCGTTCCAAAAAGAACGTCAATTTAGAGTTTAGAAGGGACATTGAACTGCATGTGACAAGGCCGAAGCTGCTTTAACTGTAAGAGATTAGGAGGAGACCTTTTGGGGAGTTGAGTATCTCATATCAGTCTACCGCAAGACCTTCACACCTTCCTATAAATGACCTGGAGCTGGCTACTGTGAGACATAATGTACTGCATTACATAGAGTTGGGCCTGTTGCAGAAAGGTAATGTCTATGTTCGTAACAGTCAAGTCAGCAATCAGCTCAAATATCTGTGCCAGACACTAAAGAAAAAATCCTCCTACCTTGCCAACAGCAATCCAAAAGACCGTACCAGTGCAAGAACTCCACCATAGGTTTATGTGATCAGAAAAATCAGAGTAATAGCTTACTAGCCTACCACAACCCTAGTTCATCTGACCACAGGGCTTACTACAGAGACCTTTGCAGATATGAGCTTTGTGAAAATCATCTTTTGAATGGCACACATTATTTTCATAATATAACAATTATCCTTGCTTTCCTACCATGCTCCCCTGGAGTCATCAGTGATAAAGTTAGGGACCAAATTCTGGGGGACAGGGAAAGGAAGCCGTTTTATTCAAGCCTGTCTCCTGAAACATTCAAACCTTAAATACAGTGACCCTAAAATATATTCTTATGTTACTTACAATATCATATATTTCTCTATCTTCTTCATCAGCTAACGTCAACAACGCTATCAACGGATAGCGAGATCTAGGCACTGGGCCAAAATCGACAACTTGAGCATCTTCTGGTAACTGACAATATTTTTCTTCCTTGTCATTTTTTTTAATGCTTTATATGTGTCAAGGAAAACAATCAGCATCGCTGCAATTGTAGACAAATGTGACGTTTGCATAAAGAATATTTTTCATCATATTTGTTCATAAATATATTGTGCCAAGAACTGCCAAGTGTTCACAAGTCTCAACACTCCCTGTGCCAACAAATTAGCATATTTTGTCAAAACAATTTAAAAAAAGGATACAAGTACTGCTGTCGATAGAGGTATTCGCTGTACAGAGCATCCTCTAATGCCTGAGGAGTCTTTATTCTGAAGCAGTAGACATGTTTCTGCAACGCTTCATGGAGTTTTTGAACACTGCAGCCCCAGTAGCATGTAAGAATGCAGTCTTCCAGACAATCAGGTGTCAGTGTTATACCCTCTTATAGAAAGAAGATAAGGATTTCATTAACTCACCAATGTGAAGGAGTTCTGGAACTGCTAAGTGTAGGTTCTTAAAGGACAACAGGCAGAAAACAACTTCAGTGTCCCAGATTTTTATCATTACAATCTAATCTTCTAAGAATTTAGACTAGGTTTAGTGCTTATGAAAGTCCATGGAGATGAGGAAGTGGTGTGAGGAGATAAAATGGCTGATTAAGCTAACAAAAGTAGCATGTGCATTTTATGAAGGGTAAATTTTAACTTCTGGCAACATTTTACACACTCACTGACAGACCCAAGAGCACAACCCGTAGCTCAAAGTCCATTCCCTCTCTAGATAATGGTATTAATTGGATCACTGGCCCACAACACCTTCTCTGGTCTCCAAGAATAAAGCCCTCTTGATCACACAGAGGGAGAATAAAAAGAGGATCTATGCACTCCATTTCTTTTTTAAAATCAAGCACCCACACATTAACTTATAAACACTTACTGCACAAACAGGAGCAGAGCTCTTGAAAAGTCCCACCAAATTCAAGTGCTCAAATCTCCTGAAAAATCCAAGTTACCTGAAGACTAACTTGTTGGGTTTGTTGGGCGGGGAGGGGGTTTATGTTGGGGAAGGGGTAAAACTGCCGCAGCCCGTTTCTTATTCATAGGAAGGCTCCACACCGGTCTTGGTGGAAGATGCTCAGCCTTGCTTACTACTCCCCAGTGATGCAGAAGGGCATGAATTTCACTTCCCGTGTGGGTGATTTCAAGGATGTTAGGAACTACTTGAGCTCTGATCCAAATAGATATTTAAATTCAGATAGAAAGAGAGGGAGATTTTTATTTATTCATTTATTTCTTAAAAGTAGTGCAGTTCCAAACACTGCTGGAGATCTAGACTTAGATTTAAGTGGGCGGCATATATTCCATAATGAATTCTATAGAATTCTACAATTCTGTAAAGTCTACAAAAATGCCCGCAGTAGCTGGTAATCTGCAAATATTTTTGTTATTTAAAAATCTGTCATAGCAGGAACTATTTCATTAATAAGAATTAAACTGTACTTAAATATCCAAACGTTTCACTTTTAAAAGCACCACATTTATAAGCTGTGTAAAAATTATTTCTATTGTAATGATGGGAGGAAGCATGTTTCTGAGGAATTTTGACAAAGGAAAAGGGTGAGAGCAAGAAAACGCAGTGCTAAGTTCAGGAACCCAAACTGACAAAAATCAAGCACATCAGAAATCCACTGACTCGTTACTGAAGCTGTAGCAGGATGAGGGATTTCTAACCCAAAAGGATTCTTCACTTGTCTCATCCGCTTTTTCAAAACTCTTGTGCTGGATTCTGTTTCTTCTGAGTTTCTCAGAATAACAGGAACACCCAACCCAAACCTATGAGACATGAGACAAGAAGAAGAAGTGGGTTCAGTGTTAGTGTTGACACATTTGAATTTTTCTTCAGCTCTAAATAGCAAGCAGCAAAACAAATAGAGCTAGCTTGGCTTTGCAGAGTATCTGCTAGGATGCATGCATAACATAGCCTGCGAATCTGACTCCAGCTTTTTGTGGCAGAAGGTAGGAGTCTTCACAGCGATACAGAAAATTTATAAACGGGGAATACTTTACTCCTGCAACGTTTCCAGAAAGAGAATAAAATTAACGAGAATGGTCAGTGCCCTCTAGCGGTAACTGGTTAGCCAGAGCTTTCTCCCAATTGACATTCTGCACATCCCGTCACAGGACCAAAAAAAAAAAATCACTGCTTGCAAAGATGGAACAGTCTTAATGGACTGGGTGCTCAAAAGGAAGACCTTAGAGTAAATCATTCAGCCCTAAGATATTTCTAGCTGTAACTACAGCCAGCAACATGTTTTTATGGGAGAATAAGATCCCAATTTCCCCTGTAAACCTCAATTACAATAATATGCTGATATTAAATCAGGGGCTGTAAAGCCTCTGCTTTGAGCAAGAAACCAAGTGCAAAATAGTCAGGAGACTGAATCAAAGCTGAGACTCTAAGACCCTTTCACAGCCTAAACTAGCACACCAGCCCAAGTGATACTCTGACCCTAAAAGGATAATGAAGCGAAGGTTTAAAAGTTTAAACACTCTATGAATCAAAATAAAAATCAAAGAAAGTGAGGAAGAATATTTTGGGATGATTTCTGACATCAATTAAAAACCCCAAGATTTTCACATTGCCTGGGGCTTTTAAAAGAACCGCTACAGATGATCAGGATCTACAAAACAAGCTCCACAACAGACTTCCTTTTACACTTGGCTAAAAATAATTCACTTCTTAAGGTGATAGCAATAATTTTCAATAACCAAAAGCTGATTAGAGAAACTGTCCCAGATACGCAACCAGAAGACTACTTCGGAGACTGAAGAGATTTTCTTAACTGCATTAATCCAGACCTGTCTCATTAGTAGGGCAACAGGGAGAGGCTGTGGGACTCTTTTAGAAAACAGTTATTAATTAGCTCAGGCTGTACTTCCCTGAATTTGTGCTTCTCTCACTTCCACCTATACTGTTGAAGTGATGGCCTGTTTAATGGCTTTGAATTTTGGTTCATGCAGTCATCAGCATATTGGGTGCTGGAAAACTCTGAATGGCACGAAGCATCGGCTCTTCCCTGCATCAATTGTTTCCATTTAGTATACTGAAATAGCAGCTGTTACAGTAAGATGGGTCTCATATCAGTAACTCAAGCTGAAAAGGGCACTACCAACTTCAATGTAATCAATTTGAGAATTGTTAAGGTAATTTCGTGTACAATACAGCTCTGAGCCAAACAGACAATTTTGTGGCTTAGCTGCTACTTTTTCCTGGGTTTAAAATCTTTTCCAACTCCTGTGTGTCAAACGAAGAAGAAAAGCAGAGCTGTAACTGACACTGGGCTCCTTTCTATTGATTCATGTTGGGAGGGGTGCCCTTTGTAAGAGTAACAGGGAAAAACATCAGTCAAAAGTGATTTTCAGGTTGAGGAAACGACTTCAGAAAAAAATTCTCAAAGCCATTCGCAATAGCAATAACCTGTTCCTGGCAGTCTAACAAATATTTGCCTTTACCATTTAATGTCTTGCGTGCCTGAGTGTCACAGATACACCAAAGAGGAAAGAGATAGAACTGGCAGAAAATACTCTATGCTCATTACTCCATCTTTGATAAATTTCTTTGGTTTGCTAGACTTTGATGGAAACATTTCCATTTCTTCGATGATACAATACAGGGCGCTCAGCCATACTTAGTTTGTGCGCATGGAGGGTCAAGCCTCTCTCCGATGCAAGTAAAAACAGCCACGCTGGGGCTTCACTGGGGCTGTAATGAAACACACCAGTTAAACATCTTACTCACAAAGAAACCAGGTGCAGCAGCTGTTTCACTTACTCAATATCCAAAACTCAATGGAGCTAATCTCTCCAGCCACACATAAAGATGCCTCCTGTTTTATACCATCTGGCTGATTCCAAAGTAAAAACCCTGTTCTTTGGAAACTTTCTTCGCTGGTCGAAAGCAACAGGATAATCACCATGAAAAGCAGCCATAGAAAAAAAGCCTCTAGTACAGTTTTAGCAGCAGCTGAAGGCAGAAAGGCCTTTCTGTTCAACAATAAGGTACAGTGCTTCTGTAAATTTTAAGGTAGTATTCAGTGTATGAAGGATGAATAAAGATGCAGTTTTTATTTTACGATCTAACACTCTATCAGCCCAGATCATTAGCTGGTATAGGGGAAAATTGATTTCTTCAGAGGAATGCTAGTTTAGAAAAGGCTGGAGTTTCCAATGGTTTTGTCCATGAGTTAATTTCTCCAAAAAGCAGTCCGGACCTCAAACAGGTGCTGAGCCTACAGCTCCTTCTAATACGAGCATTCATCTCCACCTCAAAAGACGACACACAGGACCGTATTCAGCTAATCTAAATTCCACTTCCTTCCTATGCCCAGAGCATCTATTGTGCAGTAACCTACTTAGACTCTGAGCAGAGCCACAGGTATCCAGGGCTGGCCATAAAAACAGACGCTCATCAAATCAGTGCATGATTTTGCAAATGAAAACATTAACATTCCTAAGCAGTTGGTGTTTTTCAGGCTGACTGACACCATCATGAACACATCCATAAAACAAGCTTGATGCCGAAAATGATGGGGAAAACAAAACGTCATTACAGCAATATATCAAGTATTATGTACTCATATGACACCATATGCATTTATAGTACTCTGTGTAGCAAATAAAGGATCAAGTTGTTTTCATGAGTAAGTTCAAGAGCACTTAAACTGTAACTGCAGCTGCAGACACACTGAAGTTGCTTGGAGGCTCTTGGTCATATGGCCATGGTACAGCAGAGTTCAAACATCTCTGAGCAGCTGGCCACACACTCATGTACTTGTATGTGCTGAGCTCCCGGCTACTGCTTCTACTTGACTAACAGTTCCTTAACAAACTAGTTTGAAGACAAATTGTATATATTGACATAAACTGCAATAATATCTAGTGCAGATGCACCTAGAATCTCTGATCTTGAAATAAAAATGTATCTGGACAGTCCTCTGCACACCCTGTAGCCCCAAAATTATCAATGGACACATGTGGAAACGTAAGGGTCTTCCGCACACCTATTTCAGACATTTTACAGCAGGGGACTGCAAAGCATTTATTATAAGCAGATAAATAATGATTAAATTGATAAAGGATCACTGGTTTGGGATATACATGCAGGAAATTTATTTGAATCACGATTCAGTATCATTTTTTTGTAAAGATAATATTTTTAAAGAACTGATGAAGCGAAAAAGGAAAAGTGGAGAGAAGTGGATGCCAATATAATACTGTCAGTGTGCAGTGGGACAGAGAGAATTATGAAAAGGATTTCTACCACCTCCCTCTCCAAGTAAATACTGAGGTGGAGCTTCATCCAGCAGAAAGACCAGTCTTGCCTTCACTACCACCTGCCCAGCACTAGGGGAGGCAATGCAAAACAAGGACAAAAACTTTCCACAAAGCATATCTTAAAGATCAAAAGATAGCTTCATTCACACCAAAAGCAATAGATGGCATATGTTTGAGCCAGTGGCAGCTAACAAAGTGATGTAAAGCACTAAAGAAGTCAGGCAGAGTATTTATAAGCTGCCAAGAGAACAAACAGCTACAGCTAAAACATCTGTAATTCAAAGAGAGAGAAAGGAAGGAAAACACTGAAGCACAGCACTACAGGTATTAATGTTAAGCCAATGGGAGGACATGCAATAACTCTATTTTATTCTCTCCAGAGTTATGGTGCACCCACAATTCCTACATAAAATATTGTGATTGCTAATCAATGCTCTCCACTTGGCAAGTATCAGTATTTACATTTACAGACACTCCTGAGTTGGCAAGAAAACAAACAGAGCAGTGCTACGGACAGACATTCAGGGACCTGTTTCTGAAAAAGGTGACAGTGACATCTTTGCTGAACCCTCTCAAACACAAGTAGGAGAGGGTCTTCCATTCATCACCCCTCCAGACACTTTAGCAGGTCAGCTGTTTAAGGCTTCTCCCCATCCCAGTCCCAGCACCCTGTTTGGTTCACCTGAAACACCCGCTTCTCTGAGCTTCAGCGGTGGAACAGACTGGTGCCCCATCAGCAGTCCTGGGTAGTCTCACCTCAGTAACAGCTTTACCTTAAAGCCTGGCAGATTTAGCTGCTACCCAGCCTTACGCCAGGCACCTTACTCAGTATTTCCTCATTTTATCTACCACCGAGATTTGAGATGTCCATCTCCAACAGTGCCAAACTTTCACCTTGGAGCAGCCCTCCCTGACCCCCACCCCCAACAGTGCCAAACTTTCACCTTGGAGCAGCCCTCCCTGACCCCCCCCCCCTCACTCAGGGTCAGGTCCTCTCCTGGCCACTCTGTTTTCTCCACAGCTTTCATCCTTCCCTTCAGCTGGAGCAGCCCCTTTTTCCCTAATCAGTGCTAG